AGGTCACCCTTTTATTTCATATCTGAATAATTACACAGAGCCCTGTCTTAGTTTTCTAGTGCTCCTGTAACACAGATACCACAAGTGGGTGGCTTTAAAGAACAGAGATGTATTTTCTCATGGTTCTGGAGGCTAAAAGTCCAGATTAGAGTCTCTGCCATATCAGTTGCTTCCTTGTTGGTAGTCCTTGGTGTTCCTTGGTTCCTTGGTGTTCCTCAGGGTCTTCCTCTGTGTATGCGTATCTCTGTGTCTAATCTGCTCTTTTTATAACTGAGAAGTGATTAGATTTAGAACCCACTCTACTAGGGTAGGAGCCCTGGTGGCATAGTAGTTAAGAGTTCGGCTGCTAACCAAAAGGTCAGCAGTTCAAATCTGGCAGCTGCTCCTTGGAAACCCTATGGGGCAGTTCTACTCTGTACTGTAGAGTCGCTATGAGTCGGAATTGACTCGACGGCAAAAGGTATGTATGTACTACTAGGGTATATCTAATTAACATAAAGAAACTCCTATTTCCAAACAGGATTACATCCCAGTGTCTTAGGCTGGGTTCTCCAGAGAAGCAAAACCAGCAAAGCACATAAATATATGTATATAGAGAGATCCATATCAAGGAAATGGCTCACGCGGTTGTAGAGGTTGGAATGTCCCAAGTCCCTGAGTCAGAATAAAGGCTCCTCTTGATTCACGTAGCTGCAGGGGCTGGCAAACCCAAGATTGGCAAGTCAGAGAGCAGGGCTGTTGCTCACAGGCTGCGAAGATTGACAACTCCGAAGATCACCAGGCAAGACTGTAGGTAAGCTGCTAGCTCAAGTCTCAAGAGCTGAAGGTCAGATGAACAGGAGCCAGCTGCAGGATCCAGAGCAAGCAAAAAGCCCATGAGCCTTGCCAGCAAGTCCACTTATATTCGATGCAGGCCACACACCTGGGGAAACTCCCTTTCAACTGATTGGCTACTCACAGCAGATCCCTTCATGGAGGTGATCACATTATATCAAACCTCATCATGGAAGTGATCACAACATCATACGACTGCCAAGCCACTGAGAATCATGGCCCAGCCAAGTTGGCACACAACCTTGACCATCACACCCAGGTATAGGGGTTAAGATTACAATGCATATTTTGAGAGGAGACACAATTTAATACATAACAAACCCCTATTTCAGGGACTGCAGGAAGCCCAGATGCCACGTGGGGGACTTCTGAGGATTCTGGGACAAGGTTCAAGGGGTCATTCCTCTCACTTCAAACTATTCCTGGCTCTTTCCTGGTGCAGTCTGCCATCAAGGCAAACATCTGGCGGGGAGTGGCTTTTCAGCTGTCAGAAGGCCTGGCTCCTGCTATCTCCCCAGACCAGGGTATCACTACCTTTATAGAGCTGTATAAGCAGCCACTGTTTGGGCTGTTTAATCAATTGTCAGAGAGTTTATAGAGTCAGTATTGATTTTAAAGAGAAAGGACAGGCAACCTTGGTAACAGTGCTCTCATTCCATTACACCGTTATTTAACCTGTTCTGTGGATAACCAGAGAGTACATGATGGACATGCCAGCAAAAACCCTATCAGTCTGCCTTGCACTTCCCTGTCACTGGTGCTAACAGTATATACAGCCCTCTGGGTGAGTTGCTCTTGTTTTAGGGGGAGCAGAGATGCTGTCTATTAGGTCCATGGAAGGTGAGTGTTTTAAGTGGGGCCTTAGCCTCTGTGTGATTGCGAGTGTTTCTCCCACAGAACTTTTCAATATTTGGAGGAGTTGGTCAGGGATAACCCGGTGTTAACAAGCTAACTCTCTTCATTCTAGTCTATGATCAAAGGTCATGGGATTGGGCCTGGAAAAGGCCTGGATTCCTGTTCCTATGCTGTCCCTAAACAGTTGTGCCACCAATCTGGGCTTCAGTTTCTTTATCTGTATCATGGGCTTAGGGGAGGTGGTGGTTTTTATCAGTGTTGTTACGTGCTGTCTAGTTGACTCGACTCATGGCAGCCCAATGCACAATGGAACAAAATGTTGCCCAGTCCTACGCTATCTCCATGATCAGTCGTGGATCGAACCATTGTGATCCATAGAGTTTGGCCGATTTTTGAAAGTAGATCACCAGGCCTTTCTTTCTAGTCCGTCTTAGTCTGGAAGCTCCACTGAAGCCTGTTCAGCATCATAGCAACACTCAAGCCCGCACTGACAGACTGTTGGTGGCTGTGCACGAGGTGTGTTGACTGGGAATCAGTCGCAGTTCTCCAGCATGAAAGGCAAGAATTCAGCCACTGAACCACCACTGTCCCCGGCTTTATCAGTAATTTTTCTCAATGTTCTAAGAAGGCTCACCATGCTCGGAAGGCCTAGCGGCCAGGGTAACTAACTATCCTGCTTGGCCCAGGACTGAGGGGCTTCTCAGGATGTGGTATTTTCAGTGCTAAAATTGAGGAAGTCCTGGAAAAACTAGATGGCTGCTCACCCTCTCAGGCTCCTACAGGGGCACAAGCCAGATGCTTGGCTGCCCACCTGCCTCAGCCAGAGCTGCACCACTTCTCTCAGCTTATATATCCGCATCCTAAGTAAGGTTTAATGTAACAGATGGGTTTCATGGCCAAAAACTGTTAGAAAACCACTTGATTCAGTGGACTCCAAGATCCTGGGGCCACAGTCTATGATTTTATTTCATTTGCACACACGAAATGCCAGCCATTTGTCTGAAACTAATAACTGATTGGAGTAAAATTAATTTAGTTCTCATTTAGTGGTTAAAAGTGAAATAAAACAAAACGGTATTTTGAATAAAACAAAACAAAACATGTTTGTTAAAGCTTTGCTTATTCTGAAGCAGATCTTATGCTGTGCCTTTGTGATAACAGGTGACACTCACTGTGCTCGCTTCATTTTATCATCATCTTGTGATCCTCATTGCAGCTCCCAGAAGTAGGCATCATAATGCAGATGAAGAAACGAGGCACCGAGAGAGTAACTAGCCCAAGTCCCCCAGCTGGTAAGGGCAGAGCCACGATCATGCAGGCAGTTTGACTTGAGCGATACTGTGTCCTAGCGCTGACCCACGCTCAGGTGTACCTGCCTATGGGGTGTAGGGACCCATTGGCAGCTGATCATCATTGCCCTCCCCAATCTGTCCAGCCTGACCAGCGCCCCAAACTGGTCCTACTTTTTGCTAGTGCAGAAGCAAAACCTAGAGCACTGTTTCAAGGTGTTAGTAGTTTTGGGGATCTGACAATAAAGAATCCAAGTCATATAGTGATAAAGTTATTCCCTCACTAGTTGTCCTTCAGATCCTCTGGCTGTATCACGGAAACTGTTTGTGCTAGTCTTTAATTCCTCCGCATCCCTCGATGACCTCCCTTTTTAAGAAAGAGAGCAGCCTTAGCTTGGAACCCTCTGGGCAACAGTGTCTGGCTGGATTTTTGCATAATAATCTATTGTTTCTGACATAGTAACGTTGTGCAGTTAATTTTGATATATGGCAAATGATACTGGTTTTCCACTTGGGGTAGTGACATAAAACTACTTTAAAATACATTTTGGAGTCCTGGGGTGGTGTAAACAGTTAAGTATTCAGCTGTTAACACAAATGTTGGAGGTTCAGGGTTACCCAGAAGTGCCAAAGAAGAAAGGCCAGGCCATCTACTTCCAAAAAGTCAGCCATTGAAAACCCTCTGGAGCACAGTTCTACTCTGACACACAGAGGGTCACCAGGAGTTGAAATCAACTCAACAGCAACTGGTTTGCTTTTGGTTAAAATACACTTATTTAAGTAAAAAAAAAAAAAAAGTGAGTAATTTAAAAGTAGTAACAAATATATAGTGCAGGCAATGTACAGATACGGCAAAATTTGTGAGAAAGATTGATTTTGTGAAACACGGACCAGGAGGGAAGGTTGGCGTTCACTAGAATCTTGAAACCAACAGATGAAAGGCAGGACTTACTTGACAAGGAAACCTTTTGGGGGTCAGTGCGTCAGCTCAGGGTGGGCCTGGCCTGGGCTCTCGGGTGCTGGATGCAGGTACCTCTGGAGCGTGTATGCCTGCCAGGTGTACTCTGGAAAGACAGGGTCCCATCTGGCTCCAGACACTAGGATTTTCCTTTTTTCTACTGGTTTTCAATAGTTTTGAAATGCCCCCATCAGAAAGAACAAGCATAAAAAATGGGCCCTTGTGCCAGGTTAAAAGGCTATGCCTTAGGAGAATGCCATCTAGAAAATAATTAGAAGTGCATGGTGAAATGCCCACATGAGGTAAAAGTGCTCACCTTGGATGGACACTAAACCATGGTGTAGAAATTGGACACCACTGTGGCTCTTTCGGAAACCCTGGTGGCGTAGTGGTTAAGTGCTACGACTACTAACCAAAAGGTTGGCAGTTCGAATCCATCAGGCTCTCCTTGGAAACTCTATGGGGCAGTTGTGCTCCGTCCTGTGAGGTGGCTATGAGTCGGAGTTAACACGATGGCAATGGGTTTGTTTGTTTGTTTTGATGGCTCTTTCTGTTAGAACTTGGTGACCCTTCCCCTGGGATTAGAAGCAGACTGGGCTTGGGACCCCTCATCCAGCCCGGGGAACAACAGAACTCGAAGGAGCTCTTTCGTGGCATCTGTCTTTGGTGACTTTGCTTGCCTGCCGAGCTTGCTGCTGGTACTAAACCCCCATAGGACTGTGTCCTTATTAAATAGAGTACTGCTGAGGCAAAGTGGGTTTGCAGGTCCTGGTTCAGCCCTCAGTGGGATGCCCACACTAGGCTATTGCTGTGTGCACAGGGCCTGCGCTTGGCTAATCTTTGCAGGCCCCAGGACCTGGTCATCAGTGCGTGCTGAGCATTGACTGACGCCTGCTGCATGCCTTGGACACCCAGACTTTGCACATAGAGTTTGGGGACTGGTTTCCAATGACATTAGGGAGCCCTGGTCATAGGTACAATATCCTGGGAGCAAAGATCTTAGACTTCTGGCCTCCAGTTACATCCCCTAGCAGCGGCAGCAGCTGCCACCACTCAGCAGCATCATGAATGATGATATGTGGTCACGACCGGAGCTTCGTCTTTGCCCTTTTGCTCCTCCTGAAGTGTATATATAATCTCTAATGTTAGAATCTTGTTTTCAGGATGTTTCTGAGTTATGTTATTCCTCCACTCTATCTTGTACTCTCATTTCCTTAAGGAGGTTTCAAAATCTTTTTTCATCTACCTAAAAATAGAGGAAAGATAAAAATTACCACAAAGTCACTGGTTGAGAAATAAAAATATTCTCGCTTTGAAAGCCCATTGCCCCCAGTCTAGAGTCTGTTGCACATAACAAACTTTTCTCCCCACCAGGAAACATCTGTATGGATTATTTCACTACAACCCCACCATGCTTGGACTTGAATCACTTCCAGATCCCACGGATACCTGGGAAATTATAGAGACCATTGGCAAAGGCACCTACGGTACGGTCTACAAGGTGACAAATAAGAAAGATGGGAGCCTGGCCGCAGTCAAAATTCTGGATCCAATCAGCGTAAGTAACTGTGGCTACTTATAATAACAATATGATGTTTCATGCACATTGAGCTTTCAACTTCTTTTCTTGATTCTAGAGATAATTTTCATGAAACCTGGCATGAAATCTCTAAATGGGTCATGATTAATCGGCTCAAATAAGTGGAGGGGACTTCACTTGGAATTAAAATTTTCCTTGACTTTTTATCTCATGTCCATTTTACTGTTGATTTGTGTTTTGGACCTCTGGTCTCTTCAGAAGTTCTCCCCTTGGAAAGAGTGATGCATCTCACTCACCTGAGCTCATACAGGGACTGGTCTTTCATCTGTTACAGGGTGACCCAGGTTCGTGATAGTTGATCATTTGAGGCTGATGGCTTCTTTCAGAGCACTGACCACTGAGGTGATAATGCTGTACCCTGTTTTGCATGATAAGATTATAGGCTGCCTAGTCTGTGTTGAGTTAGTCTCCTTAACTGCTTTGAAAATGCAGACATTTGAAAATTAAAAAAAGATATTTAGAGTAGTATTGTTAAAGAAAAAATATAATGAGCCATTTTATTGATATAATAATTAGAAGGTTATAATTAGGATTTGAATGCCCATTGTTAGGTATTTCCAAGATTCTAAAATAGAGTAAATATGCTTTATCAAGGGATTACTTGACCATGATGTCATATCTGTATCCTTTCTTACACAGTAATTAGATTTAATCCAGCATGCACTTTTTTGTTAATCCTTTTTAGGATATGGATGAAGAAATCGAGGCAGAATACAACATTTTGCAATTTCTTCCTAATCATCCCAACGTTGTAAAGTTTTATGGGATGTTTTACAAAGCGGATCACTGTGTGGGAGGACAGCTGTGGCTAGTCCTAGAGGTAAGAGGCACCTGTCGGCTAACCCTCATTTAAATAGAGCTCCAGGGGCAAGCAGATGCTCTGTTGCCTAACTAATGTTTTAAGATACACATTTGAAGAGTTGGTCCCTCTTGTGTGTCATAGGTATCTTACCAGATGTGAAGTTATTCTTCTCTGCAGTTCTTACGTGTAGACTATGTGCTAAATACGTTCATGTTTCTCTGTTTTAAAAGTTTAATAATCTTCTAATACAGAGTGAATACAGGAATACAATTGGAAATGGTACTTTTCTTCTCCATACTGGAAAACATACTGCAATTGTCAAAAATTGTTAACCCAGAATTTACTTGGCTTGCTAAGCTTTGATTAGCCCATTTGTGTTCATTAATCCTCATCCTGGACTGGGTTCCCTGAGGACTGACTCTGAGAGTTGCATGTGAAAGGTTTATTGGAGAGTTCTCTCAGGAGATAGACCTGGAAGGAAGTAAGGAAGGCAGGATTGGGCAAGGGAGACAGTTGCAACAGAAGCCTCAGCCAAGGTCTAAAAAAAGAGTTGGGAAGCTCTTTCAGAGTTGTACTGAATTGTATCTCCTCACCAGCCACTCATTGGCTGGATGTCACCTCTGGGAGGGGACATGACCTTAGGTGAGGCGGTTCCTTTAGCTGAGGGCAGTTTCTACTGAGGGCAGAGCTGGGAGCAGGGAACAGTCAATATTTCCAGCAGCATTTTTCTAAAATGGGAATCTGAAGGGAGCTCCATTGTATCCACTATCCGAACCAAACCCATTGCTGTTCAGTCAGTTCCGACTCCTGACAACCCTATAAGACAGAGTAGAACTGCCCCACAGGGTTTCCAAGGCTATAAATCTTTACAGAAGCAGACTGCCACATTTTTCTCCCATGGAGCAGCTGGTGGGTTCAAACCACTGACCTTTTGGTTAGTAGCAGATGAGTGCTTTAACCGCTGTACCACCCGGGCTCCTGTATCAACTATAGTCCTGCGTTTTTCTCCCTGCATTTTAGTAAATGGGAATGAATATGTACATCTTGGTGCAAAAGAGGTGTTTACCCACAAGCACAATTCCCCATGGGGCTAAAATGGCAAAGACACAATAATGAGAATATGTGAAATTAGTTTCTAAGGATATGTCTGTGGCTTCATTCACCCTAGGTCCACCTTGACTGTTCTTGACTCTGTCCCTCTGAGTCAGCACATGCCTCCATGCCTGTGGTCACATATGTGACCCAGGAGACAAGAACACACTTGAAAGCCTTAAGGGAAAAGCAGTACCAGGGGAGGGCAGCCCTCACTTCACATGTGGCACCTCTTGCCCAAATCTACTACCAGCTCTGGGAGCATAGGAGAATATGGGCTGGCTGCCATGGTGACTGTGTGTAGGGATTTCGTTTGTTATATGCAAATGGGATAATGTGCAGGGAAGCTGGTTTGAACAGTTCTTTCATATCAGTTATCTTCCTCAGAATGTAGACGTAAGAGGTTTTAGTTACCAGTAATCATCTTTGTCCATTTAGTTGACTGGTCAAATCACGTAACACATTCTTGTATTTTCATCTTTTGGTTTTATCCACCACCCCTCCCCACCCCCCGGAAAAATTATGAAGTTTATTCTGCAAAGGGAGCTATAGAATAATATTTATTTTTAGATGACTTTTCGTTTATCCCTAGCCACTCTTAAAATTCTCTCTTTATCTTTGCTTTTGGCAAGTTTGAGTATAATATGTCTTGGTGACTTTCTTTTGGGATTTGCCTTATGTGGGGTTCGATGAGCATCTTGGATAGATATCTTGTCATCTTTCACAATATCAGGGAAGTTTTCTGCCAACAAATCTTCAACAATTCTCTCTGTATTTTCTGTTAGCCCCCCCTGTTCTGGTACTCCAGTCACTCCTGGGTTATTCCTCTTGATAGAGTCCCACATAATTCTTGGGGTTTCTTCAGTTTTTAAATCCTTTTATCTGATTTTTCCTCAAATAAGTTGGTGTCAAGTGCTTTATCTTCATTCTCACTGGTTCTGACTTCCATTGCCTCAGTTCTGCTCCTATACTTCTATTGAGTTGTCTAATTCTGACGTTATATTGTTAATCTTCTGGATTTCTGATTGCGTCTCTCTATGGATTCTTGCAGCCTGTTAAATTTGTCATTATGCTCTTCTCTAATCTTTTTAATTTCCTCTACTGTGTATTCTGCGTTTTGCTTTATTTCCTTCCTAATTTCTTAAAGAGTTCTGTATATTAATCTTTTGTATTCTGCCTCTGGTAATTCCAAGAAATTTTCCTTCTCTGGAAAATTTCTAGATTCTTTATTTTGGGAGCTTGCTGAAGCCATCATGGCTTGCCTCTTTATGTGATTTGATATTGACTGTTGTCTCTGAGCCATCAGTAAGTTATTATATTTATTTATTTCATGTTTGCTTACTGTGTCCTAACATCTTGTTTTGTTTTGATATGCCCAGATAGGCTGCTTGTATGAGCTAGTTTGATTATTGGCAACTTTGAAGCTGTAATGTCCTGTCACCAGATGGTTAGATCTGTTACTAGGTATGTGAGCTCAGGAGTCCTCCCATTCCTCCTGTATGGATTCAGCTGAGGTGCTCAGGTAGATAACCACCAAGTGTGTGGTGTAGGCTCTCACTTACAGTCCTAGACAGGCATGGGTGATTGATGTAGGCACAGGCATCTGGCTACAGCAGGGAGACACGCTCTGAGCAAGGCAGGGGGCTGACGGCCGCCCCTGAGTGTCCAGGAAGAAGGTGTGTCCCTCTTCCCTAGAGTGTGTAGGTGGGTGGGTTCCGCAGCGGGACCATGAGCACTGAGGGCTGCTGGCTGCAACTACTAGGGGGCATCTCCCACCCATGGGCCCCTATTGCAGGCAGCCAGGTGGCATGGGTGGAGCCACCAGTCCCCAGGCCCCCGATGTGGGCAGGTGAAGACCCTGCCCAGTGAGCAGAGCAGTGTCAAATGTCAAGAACCTGCCACTTCACAGCTGAAACAGCTGAAGTCAGACTTCCAGCACACACCCCACCATACTGTGGTAACGAGGGCCCACGCTGCCGAGATGGGCCCACACAAGTCCACCCAGGGGGAAGGGCACCCAAAGTCCGTGGATCCCCCACGCCAGCACCCAGGCAAAGGAGCTGTGCCTACCCTGGGCTCCTGGCCCAGAGGAGCCAGCAGTCCATTTCTTCCACTGTTTGTCAATCTGTTCACTCCCCAAGGCAGGGAGAATGGCTTTGGGCGTGCGATGGATCCCACCTCTGGCCTAGGGGACCTGGCAATTGCTGAAGCTGGTCCGGAACCCAGTGCAGAGCAGGGAGCGTGGAGGCAAATGGGAGACAGATCTCTCCCCGATGGGGGTGTCCTTGATCCGCATGGTAAACCGTTCACAATTACTTATCTTTCGCCGGTCCAGGGCTGCTTCTCACTGGTTCTGGGTGGCCGTGCAGACTCTCTGGCGCTGGGTCTCTCCCACTGTGGAAAATACGCCTCCTGAGCATAGCTGCTTGCCTGCCTCACCGCTCACCCATGAGCTGCTCAGGCCTGAAGGGCTCAGGCTCTCGCCAGGTCTGGTCTGGCAACTCCTCGCTGCTTCCGAACCGTCTCTCCCTCCCCCTGCCACTCAGTCCAGTTCCTCAACTCTGCCTTTGATGTTTAGAACTCCCAGATTGCCACATGTAATCAATTTACTTGTTTTTTTGGGTCTTTGTTGTAAGAGGGTCCACTGGAAGCAGCTGACTACTCTGCCATCTTGGCCCCGCCTCAGAATAATATTTATTTTTAAAATACTGCTTTACTTGAGAATTGCAAGATATTGTTACTGGAGTCTCTAATTATATTCTTCTTTTAAACCTTGCTATAATTTAATATTAGAAGCTCAATGACCAAGAAATCTTAGCTTCTGCTCATCCCCCTCCTCCCCAGTGCCATCACCCTGACTCAAAAAAGGCTCCACATTCAGGCACAGAGAACTGGACCTTGCAGGAATTTTCATGGTCTAATGGGCACTTCCCTCTGGTGCCACCAGGCAGACTGGTAGGCTGCTCAGACCTGCAACCACCTGGTGAACATTCTTCCTGATGAGCAGTGACTGGATGTCAGCCTGTCAGGCATGGCCAAGGCAACCAGGAAGAGCCGCACATGGCCTTGAAAGATGAGAAAGAACTTGGAACTATGAACTGGGCCTCGTGCAAATGCTCCCCTGCCAGCTGTCTCTTGCCTTTTCAGGGTGACCACGGGCAGATAATGAGGCTTCCCTGAGACACTGAATTATTCATACCTCAGCAGCACAAGATGCTGACAGTTATGACGTCTGCATGTCATTTGGCTCATGGCAAAGTTGGCGGTATGGGTAGCCAGGGGTGCTCAGTCTTCCTTGCCAGAATGGGCAGTTTAAGCAGGCTTCTGGGTGGTTAGGGTGCAACCAGTCCTCAATAGCTGTTACCTTTTGCAGAAGCACAGGGCTTCCTGGACTCAGAGCTAGAAAGAACCTCAACATTTGTTTGACTCATCCCTTTGTTGTTCAGTTGAGGAACAGGCCCAGAGAGGGGAAGAGACATGTCTGTGGTCACGCAGCCAATTGCCTGGCAGAATGAGAGGTGAAACCACACTTCAGAAATTTTCTAGCATCATGTGCTGCTGTTATGATGCTATCTTTCTGATCACTGGAACACAGATGTGGGGTCTGTAGCTGGGAGAGCAGCAGTTCCTGATTGCACATGTGTGCACACATGCACAGCTCTATGACGATGCATGGTCTACACAGCAGCCTGACCGTTTTGCCCCCTCTGCAGCTGTTTTAGGAGTGTGTTAGGAGACACATACAATAAAATTATGATCTGTTTAGTATTATTCCTCTCATCCAGTATACTGAGATGAAATTTATGGTGCCTTTGCTCTTTCCATGCTGAATGGGATGAAAGGCCCAGTGAGAGGCCATTCCACAGAGCAGTTCTAGAGGATAGAAAAATGTTTTTAATAACCCCCTTAGATCACCACAACTCTGA